GAATGATGAATGCATGTTGCCTACCATTTTATTATATGTTTCTTTCTTGATGTTTGTATTCCCCCCCCTTCCCAGTTTTATGTGAGCCGCCCTGAGTCCCCTCAGGGAAAAGGGCGGCCTACAAATTCTAATAAAACTATAAAACTATAAACTATAAAATATGTTGATATAAAAGTTAAAGATCAACGGTAGTTGCCCAGAATAGCTAAAAATATTGTAGGAGTCTAACAACTGAATACTAACACAGCAAGATATTTTTATTCATCTTTGATTACAATACTCAAAAGACAAGGACTTTCTTTTAGAGGTCACAAGGTTGCTTGACCAGTAATTAAATTGGAATCTTAGATGAAAATACCTATACAGGTACTATACAGGTACTACAGTATTTTGTCTACAGGTAGTCCTCAACTTATGATCATTCACTTAGTGACTGTTTGAAGTTACAACAGTACTGAAAAGGAGACTTATGACTGTTTTTCACACTTACTATTATGGTAACATCCCTATGGTCACATAATCAAAATTCAGATGCTTGGCAATTGGCATGTATTTATGACAGTTGCAGTGTCCTATGGTCATGTGATCACCTTCTGCAACCTTCTGACAAGCAACATCAGTGGGGAAACCAGACTCACTTAACAACCATGTTACTAAGTTAACAACTGCCAGGATTCACTTTAACAACTGTGGCATTAAATGGGGTAAAACTCATTTAACAACTGTCTTGTTTAGCAATGGAAATTTTGGTAACAATTGTGATAGTAAGATGAGGATTGTACTGCTAGTTCAAGATTATGAGGGAAGCTGAAATTGCAAACATCTGAATATAATCAGATTGGCAGTGTTCTATTGTAACTGACAGATGCTGTGCAAAGCTCTTCAGCTAAGATATTCTCCATTAACAAATCCTTTTAAGTGGACATCCCAGGAAAGTGATTTAGCCACTCTGCTTGTTTAAACATGATCCTTCCCCATCACTGGAGTTCCAATAAGCCAAAAAAAAACTTAAGTAACTGTATATACTAGTGTGTAACAATATAAATCACAGACCGGATGCAGAATAATTTTAAGATTTAGTATTTAGAGTATGAAATGGCAAACAAGGAAAACAGTAAGCATCTGTCTCTTCTCTACTTTTCTCTTTCTGAAATTAATCTTAAATTAATTTGTTTTTAGCATTTATCTAGTTAACCCCCAAAGACAACTCTGAAATGTAAAAACAAAATAATGTTATTAAAAGAGCTGGCCCAATTTGCTATCTTTAGTGACCAAGAAAATTAAACTCCTCCTTACACAAACAAAAAACCTATTGGACTGGCAATTTAATCTTAAGTAGTTATAGCAAACCACCATTCTATATTGAGAATATAGACTAATTTGAATGTTACATACAGCTCTGTTCTCTGTTACCTTACAGTATCACTCTACAACTGTAGAGAGAGCCTTCACATAGGTTCACCTGGTGTGACCTTTCCTAGACTGGAAATATTTTATTGTCACAGTCATCTTGCGTATGGACTACTGCAATGGGCTTTTCATAGGGCTGGCCTTGAAGACCACTTGAAAGCTCTAGGTATCTAGAATGCAGCAGCACAAGCAGTTGTGTGGCACTTTGATATGGCCATATAGCATTTGCATCTAACAAGCTGCACTGGATATCTGGTACAATTCAAGGTGCTAGTTAAAACTTATAACGCTCCTTATGGCATAGGGCCTGATTATCTCAGTGACCACCTCACTCACATCATTTTTGCCTTTCCCATAAAATCTGAGAGAGGCTGTGCCCTTCATATCCCATCCATTAAGCATTGCACTTGATGGAACCCATGAAGTATGCCTTCTCTGTTGCAGCACCTATCCTCTGCATCCCCCATATGTTCAAACTGCCCTGACTGGACCATTGTTTAAATGACCTGTGGAAGTCTTTAAAATAAGCCTTGTAAACTTGCCTTTTTCCTCAAGTCAGGGATAGGTTAGGCTCTGTCCACCCAGATCATATGATGACATTTTTATGGTGCATACGTATTTGTTCTTCATGTTGTGTTCATATGGTTTTAGTTTTGGTTGCAGAAATGATGGTTTTACTTATACAGTTCCCAGAGTCGGTGCCGAGTTAAGCAGCCTTACAAATCTACATTGTAAAGAAATAAACAAATCTGTCTTTAGGCTTTTCAAGGAAGTGCTGCAATGCAGCAGTTGTGGCATTAGTGTCACATGAACAGCTTGCTGAATATGTGGCTCAGGCTCTCTCTCTCTTCCTGCTTGCTCAGTTGGGGGCCTTTCCCAGCACCAATGCCCGTGACTTACTTGTAGGGAATAATTAGGCAAAATTGTTGGCAGCAATAAGCAAGCATCACAGTTGCTGGGGCAACAGTTCTAGAGGAAAGGAACAGCCTGGGGGTGATCTTAGGTGGAACTAATGTGGGTGGGCTGCTGCTGTCTTTCCTAGGTTTGTTCAGCTAGCATACCCAGGATGTCCAGCAAGAAACGAAAGGGGTTGTCAGAATCTTGCCTATATGATTTAGGATAGCAAAATATCAGTGTTTTCTTTTTTAAATATATGTATGTCTATTTTTATAAACCTTATTTGTATATTTTCTATTTCAGATAATATAAGTCCAAGTTCCCTCCCAGGGGGAAAAAATAAACAGTCACTCTGTATGGTCTCATGACTGAAGAAAAACTACTGGAAAATTAGAATTCAAAAGGCATCTACTGGAATATACGATAAGTGCATTCTTTCAAACTTTCAGTCTGACATCCTCACAATGCTGCATGTAACCACTGCAGTTTCCAAGACAGAGCTGGTATTGCCAGTTAAAGCACACCAACTGAGTAAAACTATGTTCTGGAAGATCCTTGCATAATGGTAGCAATATTTTTTTTTAAAGCATGACAACTGCATTTTGAATTTAACTCTATCGAAATGTTGCTGAGGAAGAGTTGGGTGGCCTTATAAATGTCTAAATAAATAACATGTCAAGGTGCTTTCCTTCTTTTAGTGATATTTTAGTTTGTCAGGCTTCAGATTTAAAAGAATGTGGTTGCATCATTGATAACTGCACTGAATTTTATTAACTTTCTGGGATAGAAAATAAAAAATGAAATTAGTTTGAATAAAATATTTTTTAAATGTATAAACATTTCTATTTCTATTTTCTTAGAATTTTATTAAAACGTCTGCCCTGTTTTTCAAAAATATTAATGTATGGATTGCCAGCCTTCCGAAGAATACCATGCTCAAAGTAGCAGAGTAGCAGATAGTATAGCCTTTATTGTCATTGTACATTATATATACAACGAAATTGGTTTTAGCCTCACTGGTACAATCCATGACAACAAATACAAACAACATAAATAGTATAAAGAATAATCCCTATGCAAGTAATTAGGAAAAAGAAAAATTAGTCATATATTTCCGCTTGTGCGTGGAGTGATTGTGGTTGTGTTTAAGAGTCTGACAGCTCAAGGATAGAAACTATTTGTTTGGCTGGTTATGCTTTGATGTCTTCTGCCTGATGGTAGAAGTGCAAAGAGACACTGACCAGGGTGTGAATCATCTCGAGTATCTTCTTTAATCTGCTAAAGCAGGGAGACCTGGCGATGTCATCCAGTGGTGTTAAGAGGGCAACCAATGGTTTCTTGTGCCGAATTGATCACTCTCTTCCTGTCCATAGCGTTTAAACCAGCATACCATACTATAATGCAATATGTGAGGACACTTTCTATTGTGGACCGATAGAAAGAGGTCATCATCCATTGTTCCACCTGATTTTTTTCACAGGACTCTAAGGAAATGAAGTCTCTGTTGGGCCTTTCCAATAACCAGAGACGTGTTGTTTTTCCAGGTGAGATCTTGACTAATAAACACTCCCAAGAATTTAAAAGAGGAAACCCTCTCCACACAGCCCCCCTCGATATTCAGTGGGGCAGGTCCTCTCTGTGCTTCCAGAAATCTAGCACCATTTTCTTTATAGATGGACCTACATTCACAGGTTTGAGGGCTATTAATGAGAGTGAAATGCAACAATGAAATTACTGTATAAATTCCTTTTGTTCTATGTAGAACGACTATTAAATGACCCTTAGGAACCAATAGTAATAAACATTACATTGCATTTTCTGCCATATCTCAGTGGTGAATTTTCCTTGAGTGCATCTTCTAACACCTGTGCTAATCAAGCCACAAGATGGATGGATAGATGATGGATGGATGGATGGCTAGACAAGAGAGTCATTTATTGCTTTCTGCAGTAGTTTGGTTTCAAATCATCTTTCCTACTCATATGAAAACTTTCTACAACATATTGTAGATCTGGGGAGACATCATAGCTGTTCCTAAAGGTGCTTTTCAAATCATGACCTGGATGATTGAAAATCTTCATAGACATTCTACTTCCTAATATAACTGGCTAGGAAGATCTCAGGTTATCTTTTTAAGCAGCTTTTAATTAGAAAACTGTTATTGACAGTTTGCGCTGAGTAGACAAATACTCTGAACAGATATATTCCCACATATATGAATTTATTCTCTACTGTCTCCCTGAGATGTCTCAAAGCATTTATTACTGTATTTTTCGGAGTATAAGACGCACCTTTTTCCCTCAAAAAAGAGGGCGAAAATCTGGGTGCATTTTAGACACGGAATACAGCATTTTTGGTGTACCGAAACCCTGCCCCCTTTGCAAAAATGGACGTGCAGAGGGTTTGGGAGGCTTGCAAAGTGCTCCTGAGGGCTGGGGAGGGCAAAAACAAGCAAAAATTGCCATTTTTGCCCCCCACCCAGCCCCCAGGCGCACTTTTGCACTCTTGCCTACTTAACGGTAATGAAGAGAATTTTAGTAGCATATAAAAGATGTAACAGCTGGCCAATTTGTTCTTCAGGCATTGTGAGAGCTATTGTGCTGTTACCTCAGAACATCAGATGACTAGGACTAGGACTGAATAGCATTCAAATCTTCACTCAGATGCCTAGCTCACTTGGTGGCTTTGAGCCAGCCTCTATCTTTCATTTGGATCTATGACTCAGAGTTGTTATGGCGACAGAAATGCACAAGGGAAATTCACATATTGCCTTAAGCTCCCTGGAAGGAAGGAAGGATTTAAATATGACAAATAAACTATATGGTGTTGTAAACTATATAAAAACAATCTGAGTAACTGAGATTAACAAAACAGTTTTCGTACAGAGGAAGGTTTATTTCCTCCTTTCACAGTATTATAAAACTTGGATCCCCAGCCTCTTTTGCTGGTGATGTTTGCGTAATCTATTGCTCTCATCTATTTCAAGATAGGCTAAACCACAAATTATTTGAAAATGTAGTAGTTACTATCCTATAGAACAATAGTGACACACAGTGGTTAAAGAAAAACCAGCATTTTTCCTTCCCATAAGGAAAAGCAATACAACAAATGAATCAAACTTATCATATTTCAGTGAGAACAATCTTCAAGCTACTGGCAGTATAAAAATTTAAAACTACAAAAAAAAACTATTCTCAAGGCATAGGCATATTACAATAGTGATATAAAATAAAAACTATTTTCCCAATAAATTTCATTTAACCTGGAAATCAACTTGTACTAAGTTGATTTCTTCCAATTATAGGGAAGAATTCTAGAATTTTCAGCAGCGTTGTCAATATGTTAATTGGGAATTGTGGAAAAACTGATTAAACATCTCTTCACATAGTAGTCCTAATGAAAATCACACCTATTCTGCATATCCATGATAGCGTCCAATGCATACAATTAATGTAAAACGCAGCTACTGTAGGACCTTAGGTTAATAATATCTCCTATTCTACAAAAAATCTCAGACAAGTCAACAAATTATTCTAACTATATTAATAAAAATAGGTTCTATGTTTTGTCAACGCTCTGATTTAGCTTCCGAGTTTCTTCAATAGTGGCATGTTTATTATTTATCTACAGCAGTGGATAACCTTTTTGAAAGAATCTCCCCCTTGAGCCATTGAGGAAGTTATCATCCCCCCCCCCCTCCTCTAACATAACCTCTCAATCACAACACAGGGAAATAATTGTTCAATTTATGCAAACACATTTTTTGTCTTCTTTAAAATTGTCATCAGGACATATTGATGCAAATACTTTATTTCAAGTCTTTTTCCCATATCTCAACTGTGTGAAAAATTTTGATGCCTCCATCACTTTGTTGTACATCTTCGTGTTTGATGTATTTCATTATTATCTTATTTATTCAAGACACTAAAATGCAACGGCCACTGAAAACAAAATTCAATTGCAAGAAAATGAAATGCCCGAAAAAAAGTAACATTTAATGATTTAATTACAAGTGAATTTTAAGACGCAAAAAGAAATATAAAAAGGGCATAAGAACAAACTGCAATGCAGGAACTAAGAATTTCAAGACGAAAACTCTGAAACTAAATTAAGATTCTAGGAAAATATATATTCATGCACACTTTCAGTTGGGAGGGCTTCATTGCTTCATTTAAAAATGTTTTTTCACAAAGAAGACAAAATGGAAGCTGTACGTTGGAAGGAGATGGAATGAATCCCAATTTTAGGTATTCCGTTGAATATTGGCGACACTTCTTCTCGGCCATGTTGAAATGAAAGGCACTAACTGCAAATTAAATTTTCAACTGCATTGGAACAATATAAAACAAACGTGGACGTTGATAAACCTAGTTTCAACAGTTACGTTGACATTACAGCTGACATCACAGGAGACAGCCACTCAGCATGCGATGTTTCAAAAGAAGTGCTCACCCCTCCATCACTGTCCATTCTGGCCAATGGCGCGCCACTGTATGGGTAGAGTGATAGAGGCTGCTGCGCAAAGTGCATGAAGATGAGCGATGGGTATTCACATATGTACGGCGTTCTGTACTGAAGCTAGCTGGAGGAACATTTTAAAACACAGTTCAATCCACTAATAGCGAGTGATCTGATGTTTTTGTACAACAGATATACAGCAGTTCACTGTACGAAAAAAGTCTCAAGTGTCCCCAAAACTTCTCACTCCATCGCCCCCATATTGCCCCCCTTCTGTTCCTTCGCCCCCGCATCGCCCCTTTTTGTTCCACCCCCCCTCCCTGAAAAACAAAATCACCCCTTGGGGGGCGATATTGCCCAGGTTAAGAACCACTGATCTACAGTATTTGCTAATTTGTACTGTCTTATTCAATGCACTCTTGGTAGTTTTCATAAGGATCACAAGAAAGGAACCTCTAAAATAATAAAAAAATCAAATCAAATTAAAACAATTAAAATTAACATTAATTTTATTATAGTAAAATATTGGATTTTATAATATGCTATATACATTATATTACTATGGTAAATATTTAAAATTACTAAAAGATAATCAGCAAAGACATGATGATAAAGTACTGTTTTTACCAGGGACTGCTGGGCAAGCTATTTTTTAGAACTGGGGAAGCAACAAGAGAATTCCTGCCCCCAGATCTGGTCTTTCTCATCTATCAAAGAATAGGGATCCAAAGCATCCTTTCTGAGCCGCTTGCACATAAAAGATATATTCTGCACAAGAAGACTGTCCAATAGGTAATCTGAATCCAAGCCATACAAGAGTTTATAGGTCATAACCAGCACTTTAAATTGCATTCGTAAGTATAGATGCAGCCAATAGAACATACAATACATATGTAATGTGATGGTTCTCACCCATAACCAGCTTTCTGCATTCTATACCAATTGAAATCTCCATGTCACCTTTAAAGGTAGCCCTAGAAGAAATGTGTTGTTGTTGCCAAACCTGGAAATAATGACTACTGTTACCAAAGTCATCAGATAAACTTGCCTCTATTGCTGGACCATGTGATTTAACACCACCTTGTCTTATTTATGCTGAAGGGACACTATTCATCTCTTATATTAAATAATAAATAACAATCTGAGCCTTATTGCCTTCTTTGATAAAGTGAATAAATTAGTGCATCAGAGAAATACTGTGGCCATAATGTACTTGACTTCAGTAAGACATTTGACATGGCGTATGTCTTGGTAAGATAAAACAATGTGAGATAGACAATACCACCACCAGATGGTTCACAATTGTCTGACCAACTGCACTCAACTTGTAGTCCTGAATGGAACTATATCTACATTGAGAGAAGCA